GTCTATTCTTCATCATATGAGTGTTCCTAAACGATTTTGGAGTGATGCTGTACTTACTGCGTGTTTCCTTATTAATCGGGTGCCCTCCTTCATTCTTCATGGTCGGTCTCCCTTCTCTATCTTGTTCCCCACCTTGTCTCCCTTTCCATTAACACCTCGTATCTTTGGCTGTGTGTGCTTTGTTCACAATCTGAGTTTTGGAATAGACAAGCTGTATGCATGCTCTATTAAGTGTGTTTTCTTGGCTACTCTCAGACTCAGAAAGGGTACAAGTGTTACAATCCCATTACTCGGAAGTGTTATGTTTGTCCTGATGTCACATTTTTTGAGTCTGTCCCCTTCTTCTCGGGACCTGATGTATCCGTGTCTCCACCTTTGCTTCCTCTTCCTCTTCCTCTTCCTCTTCCAGTCAGTGATCCTGTTCCAGGTGTTCTAGTTGGGGTTGACCCTTCACCTCCTCCTATGCAGCTCCCTACTGAACGACCACCGATCCGGCACCTGTATACTCGTCGACAAACACCGGCTTCTCCTCCAGCTTCTACCTTGTCTGCGGATCTTGTTGTTGCTCCTGTCCCTGAACCTTCAGGACTTGATCTTCCCATTGCTTTACGAAAAGGTAAATGTAGTTGTACCCTCCATCCTATTTCCAATTTTGTTTCAGTATCTTGCCTTTCCGCTTCACATTGCTTGTTTGTTTTACTATTGTCATCTATTTCTATACCTAAGAATGTTCGAGAGGCTCTTAGCTCACCTGGGTGGCGGCAGGCATTGGAGGAGGAACTCTCTGCCCTTCAGCATACTCACACGTGGGAGCTCACTACTCTTCCACCTGGTAAGCATGTTGTGGGTTGTAAATGGGTGTATACTGTTAAATACTTGCCAGATGGTAGTGTGGAGCGTTTGAAGGCCAAACTTGTTGCTAAAGGTTATTCACAGGTGTATGGAGTGGGCTATATGGAGACCTTCTCTCCAGTGGCTAAGATTGGCTCTGTCCATGTCTTAATTTCCCTGGCAGTTATGTATGATTGGCCCTTGTTTCAACGTGACATTAAAAATGCCTTCCTTCATGGTGACCTTATGGAGGAGGTATATATGGAGCAACCACCTGGGTTTTGTTGCTCAGGGGGAGGATGGTAAGGTGTGCAAACTGAAAAAGGCAATTTATGGGTTGAAACAAT